TATTTACGAAAATGCCATTGTCAATTAATAAAATTTGAATTAATCATGACTGTTGATTTGCTGGATCTAATGGTCCATATTTATTCTTATTTCTTTCACTATCTACCATTCTCATATGATCCCAACTCTATATATATATATATATAAGGCCATTAAGTAGAGACAAATTTCTTAACCTATCCATTGTCCACGCAAACGAGTGGAATAGAAGTAGATGTAATCATATCCGTCGCAGGCCCAACCCTAGAGTTTAAGTTAGGAGCGATTCAATATCAATTTGATTGATTTTTTAATATAATTAATTTTGGAAAAAATAGTATGATAAGTTGTTACTAGGAATTTAAGATTAAAATTAAAAAAATATTTAAAATAAAATAATTGAAGTCGATTTGAAGTAAAAGTAGAAGAAAAATAAATATGAAGTGATGATTAGTTAAAATTATATGATTTGATGAATTGTGAATTAAAGTTACTGTCATATTAAGAACGATGGGTTGATATATTTAATTATATTGATAATGTTATGGATAGTGAAATTATGTTAAAGTTGAGTTTAACTTTAAATTTTGGTTTTTTTTTCTTTACTATGTTCAGATCCAATCACAGTGACCGGCCCGGCTCTGATCACATGTATAATACATTAGTCAAGTTCAAATCCACATTACAGCCATTCAACCCATTTGGCACTCTAGTTGCATTAAATTCTGCAATGTTGAATATCTCAAGATGTATAGTCCATAAGAGCATATGTGCTTTGCCGAGTGGAATACAGAATGCATTCCACACACTTGCACATAATCAGTTATTATTAATTAACACAATTAGTTAAGTTGGCATAGAGATATTACTTTTATGTGCTCTCACATTGTTTTGCAGGTTGATAAACATCTCTCTCCTCACAACTCTGGGCAGACTCACGCCTAGAAATTGGACAGGCTACACAGTGCCCCAGTGCTTCGTGCCATCTCTGTTGTCGCATGTCCAGCACCCTCGCCCTAGAGACGTTGATTGGCTGAGACTCGACTCCCCTTGGATTAAGCTGCACACCAATGGATCTTTCAACCGACTCATCGGAGCAGCCGGAGGCGAGGTTCTGATTAGGGTCACCGCGTAGCTCTCATTACTGCCTTCCTCGCCCCTACTCAGGCCTTCTCGATCTATGATGTGGAGGTATAGGCACTCTATATTGGTGTTCAGATTGCAACATTTATCTCTACTCACATTTGGATTGAGCTGGATGATGTCGCTGTCGCCACCCACTTGACCTCGGGCCACCATGACTCGTGGCAGATCTAGCAACCGCTCATGCACATCAAATCCACACTCTAGTCGGTTCGTTATGGGTCTCGAACATATTCCGTGAGGGGAACAACCCGTTGAGTTATTGGCCAACCTCGGTCTCTGCACTCCCCAGAGGCACACCTTTCACCTCAACGACGCTTCTTTCCGCCTTCGTACTGTTGTGCACATGGACCATTCTAGTAGTAGTTTGCTTCTACCGTGCTCTAGCCCACTTTGTGGTACAGGTTTTTTGCCAGACAACTGTCAGCTCAAGTTCAAACTTTCATTTTGATGGTTGTTTTAAACTTTTTTTTTATTGTTTTTGAATGGACTTGTATAGACCTATCATTTTTTATATTATTTTTTTTCTTTTGCCCATTTAAAATCTTGGTTACGTATATGTTGGAGATTGGGTCTTAATCCCCCATCATTCCAGGCAGTGTTTTAAATAACGTACCGGTGGTCATACCGGTCTAGCTATTGGTACGCGGTATTACCTGTCGGACCGGTAATTTCGGTAGTATTGCCGGATTAGCAAATATAATGATATATATAAACATACATAAAAATATATAATGCAAAATGCAAAAAAGTAGAAAAATAAATGAACATAATCATTAATTTCAATTTCACAATGAGATAAAAATAAAATATTTTAACTACCAATTTAAATTTTACTAGTTATCATCCTGTGCACATGCACAGATGTACATAAAATATTATAAGTAATATGTGTGAATTCAATATAAAAA